CCCCAAAACCCCAAAACCCCAAAACCCCAAAACCCCAGAAGTCTAAAAGAGAATAGAAAGAGCTCTATGTATAATATAATTAATTAAATGTGGAAACCAGCATTGCCTCCATGGATTTTAATAATAACTATATGAAATTTGGTTTATAATGTCTGGCCTAGAGATATCCCTGGGGAACAGTTCAAAATACTTAATTTTACAGAGGAATTATGGCACCCTCATCTATCGAAGGCTCAGATCGATGACCATAATTTTGTCATAGTTGATAATTATAGAGAGCATAAAAAGAGGAATAGACTAGTTTCTAGAGTCCAGGTGAGTCCAGATCGCCAACAACTAGGAAGTATTTTAGACCAAGGGTTTTATGATGATGAGATCATGGCTGATACAGAGCTTCCTGGACAGAACTCAACTAATAAGGGTCCATTTAACTGAGCTTGAAAATTTACATTATCTGATACACCAAGAAAAGATTCCAATAACTTTCAAACATTGGTTAATGATAATGGTTCAATAGAAGATGGTATGCTTGGAGAATTTGTAAGCCTCTACGATAGTAATATCGATCCAGACGGGGATAATACAGTTCCCCTCAGCAGAGTAAATACAGTTGCGGCTCCAGCCTCTAATAGACTTCAAACTAAATAATAATGAAACAACAATTAATGAGAGTGATGAAATGAGTCAAGATCAGAATGAAAGCTTGAATCAACCAAACCCTAGTACTACTTTCCAAGGACAACCTATCCTTCAGAATCCTCAAAATAATTTTCTCCCACAATCTTATCAAGTTCCTCCTCTTAACGAAAATCCTCAACAATACCAGATGGGTATGCCTCAGTCACAACCACAGGTAGTATATGTCCCTGTGTATACTCAGGACATGAGTCAACAGTTCAATCCAATGATGGGAGGAGGGCAAGCACAATTTCAGGAAAATAATAACGCTCAGTTTATGCCTAATGCTCAACCTCAATTTATGCAGCAAGGTAGTAATTTCATGCAACCAGTAGCTTATCCACAACAACAGATGCAATTTACTCAATCTCAGATGATGTATCCCCAACAGCAGATGCAGTACCCCCAGCAGCAACAACAATTTATGCCTCAAAATAACCAAGGAATGCAGCAGAATTCTCAGGGCATGGGTCAAAGCCAACAAGCTGGGTATATCCAACAACCATTCATGATGACACAACCTACTGGGTTCCAAGTTCCAGGAATAGTAGGGATGGGAATGAATCAGGTTCCTACCTTAGTCTATCTAAACGGCCAACCCAGCCCCTAACATAACAATGTTTGAATAACAAACTTAACTTTATCTTCTCTCTTGCTCTCTGGGAATCATAATTTCAGAAAATTATTAACAACTGATAAATTCATCCCCAGAGTGCTAATTCTGCCACATTCAGTGCTTTCCTGTGTTTTCAATCAAATCTTGGTGAGTTCGTTTATAGATAGATTTTGGGAATAAGAGTATTATGAACTATCGTTGAGGAGTAGTTGCAAAGTAATTCGGAAAATTCTTAAAATGCTTAGAAGTTGGGAAATAAATTCAGGAGGTATAAATTTAGATATTATTCTTGGGTTTGAATAATCTTAGTGTAGCAAACAAGCCATCTTTTGGAAGTTATGATTTATTTTGAAATTTCCTTTTTGGTGCGGTAGAATTCTTTAATGGGGAAACCTATCCTGAAAAGGCATTTCATATGAAATAAAGAAGCTGTAAGGATAGAGATATCAAATTCATATTTATTTTAAGCAGAATCTAAGTCTCTTAACCTATTCTAAAGCCGCTATATTTTTGACATAATTTTTCCTAAAAAGGTTTTAGTTATTATAATTCTCAAGTTATTCTTGGAAACTATAAATATTAAATGATTTATAATCTGGCCAATTATAGATTGGGAAGCACGGGATATTAATTTGCTAAATCTATCGAAATTTATAAATTTTTTTAATTCACATCAACTTTTCCTATGAATTTTAAAACTATCAAAAAACCCTATCAATAAAAAAAAGAAATTTATTCCCAAATTCCAAAATTCCAACCTAGTCCAAAATCCAATTCCAGCTCCTCAAAACACCTCCAAAACACTCTATCTCCCCTCTAAACCTTATTTTCACTAATTTCCTAAAATCTATTCCTTCCACTCCTTCCAAAACCCCCCAACCCCCTTCTTCTCCTTCCTCAACCCCCTTCTTCTCCTTCCTCAACCCCCTCTAAACTCCCTTAACCCCCATCCTTCCCTAAACCACCCCCTTTGCTTCCCAAATCACTCTAAATTCCTATATAAAATTACCTTTCAAGAGCTAAAGTCTCATCAGGGGTTTTGGGGTTTTGGGGTTTTGGGG